TGGGGGGGGTGGGGCAATCGTCAAGACAAACCCCACCCTTGCGAGATGGGACGCCCATCCGGCCAAGCAGGACTTGGAGAGCCATGATGACCTGGTACTTTGATCGATAACGGTACGGTCAACAAGTCCCGGAATGTGATGAAAAGGAGCTTTTTCACGACTTCTGCGCCCAGAAAATTAAAAACAACTTGCCAGAAATAGTAAAATACACACTTTTATGGTTTAACTTTTATTTTGAGGATTTTACATTGACTTGGAACACTTGGGAATTTGAAAACTATCACTCGCTCATTTTACACTGTAACTGCACATCACATCCGACTTACTGGTGAATGCACAAGCAAAAAGAATGCATACTTAATTGCCAGAATCAATAAAAATTGAAGGTCTCAACATAATGGTTGAACAATATTCTGCGTAAATAATTCATATTTCAATACAGTATATACATTCAGGGAAATAACAACAATACAGTATCAATTAAAAGAAAAACAACAAAATAAACAAATGGTGGAATTATCAAAACAGAATTTTCTACAGGGTGACATTTACAACTAAGAAAGCAAGGATAGAAAGAACTTAAAATACAGTTTGCACAGAGATCATTTGACTTGCTATCTACAAAATGGCAGAATGAAGTCCTTCTCCCTGCAAGAAACACTGCTTGTACATAGGTATATCTTTTTTTTAAAAAAAGAGAAGAGAAACAAGAAGAGCAGAAAAATGTTTCAGTCATGGTTTACATGCTAAAAGTTATTATTTACAGTGGCATTCACAGACGACATAACTTAACATTTTGAAGAAGGATAGAAAACATTTCATGCAAGGAGAAACTTGAACTTTTTCTACCGAAAATTCAGTAAAACTTAAAACACATACAATCTATAAAATTAGTCTCTGGTGACCAAGGTTTGGACAGAAAGATTGACTGAAAGGGAAAGGAAAATCATAGACCTTTTAAGGAGATACAAAAACTTCATCAATTTAGTAAAGGAAACAGTGGCCAGGCATTGAGCAAAGAATTAGAGCCGAAGTGTAACACATAAAAAGGGTAACAAAATTTACATAAAACTGTCACCATTGATTTTTAAAAAGTCAAAATGTTGAGAAAAAAAAATCATCCTAAGTGTGACAGATACATAGCAAAGAGTATCAGACAACACTGATATAAACAAATAAACATCAAGTTGACCAGCATTACCTCTTTTCTAACAATTATTGAACTACGTACTCTGTTTTTGAAACAATAGATATAGTCTCAAGAAAATCAACAAAAAAGTGTTATCATTTAAATACATTCACTCAGAAAAAGAGAAGAGAATGAAAAGGAGCATTGGCCAGTTAAGAATGTCGTCATATTAAAGAAAAAGGTAATTGCACGGAATACAGCTGATGCAGAAACTAAAAAAAAAAAGTTGTGCATTTAAAATAGTATCATTCCACATTGTCATGTAATTTTTTAAAAATGCATTTCCAAGTGAATTTGCCATTGGAACCACTATTTTAAACCTAAGAATGCTAAGAAGAGCTCTGTTATATATAATTCTCTTCAAGCAAACAAAAGAAACTTAAGTTGAGACTTCTCTGTAAGTTAAATATTGCAATCTATTGAGGTACTAATAAAGCCTAACATCATTGTAGCACCAAATCATAATATTTCAAAATGAGTGTTGAAGATAAATAAATAATTTCTAAATTTTGGAAAATTCAAGCTTTTTTCACGTCAAAGCTATGCAACAACAGGTCAACGAGCTTTGATGGTTTCAACTGGCCGACATTGAATTAAATGTAAATGAGAAGATGAAGTGGTTGCAACTAGGTAGTTTTCAGGGAATGTAGAAAGATGTCTAGTATACAAAAGTTCTTAGATATATAAATAATGGCAGTAAATTTAAAATTCCATAAATAGAATGAGAGTGGCACAAACGTTGAGCATACCACATACATAAACAAAATAATTGCTAATAGATGTGCGTCACTACAGGATAACATTCACACCAAAATTTGAAAATTAAATCATGAATGTCACTACTAAATCCTGACTTGATCTGGACACAAAGTATGGTTGAGACTGCCTTCACTGACTACGACTCCAAACAAGCAATTACGCTGGCTTCACAACCTTTGCGAGCACTGGTATGAAACTACTAGTAACATTTATCACTGCTACACAGATATGGCACAAATTCCACAAATATCTGTAGAGCTCTAATGAACAACAATTGTTCCATGCATGCCTTAAGTTTCCATAATAAAGCACATACAGCATTAAATGCAATATGTGAATGAATGCTCAACCAGAGTTGAAGAGCAAATTTAAAATTTGCCAGGAAAATTACTGTTAACATGTCAAATGCAACTGTCTTAAACGCTGAAATCAAATAAAATGTTGATTCTTACATTGCAAACAGTCATTAAGTATTATCGAAAAGCAAGTCACAATTGATAAATGGTTTCATAGGTACATAAGCTTACCAGAGAAGCCATTTGAACCTAGATAGTATTAAAACAATAATTTAAAAAAAAATCAATGTTGATGTTTGATTTGATGTAGTACTCCATTCAAAACAAGTCAAAATTTGGTCCGGTAATAATTTGATTAAGGTACAATCAGTACTTATACAGAACTAGTTGAGATAAAAAACGGTGAACAATAACCTGATAAATTTAGTACTTAAAAACTGATCTGATCCTGATTTGGACACAAACTACATGCTTCCTTACACTATTTAAATTTCATCTTAGCATTCATCATCAAATCTAAATCCTAGTCATGAAACAGAGACAACTGAATACCCCATACATTAAAACAGTTGAGCATTACAGAGGTAAAAAATGTAGGTATCTCTCTAGTTAAAAACTCCCTCTATCTAAAAAAAACAAAGCTGCTCAAGTAATGCTTGGTTTTAGGAGCATAAAATGAATCTTGAGAATGAATCTATCTCATGTCGGTTTGTACCAAAAGACACAAAGAGAATTACATCATTCACATTCAGGTTGACTAGAAAAAAGGATGTCTGTGAGCTGATGGTCTTTATTTTTGTGCCTTCAGTAGGTCTGTTTTTATGGTGAATGAACCACTATCAGCCCATGGCACATATCCATTAAAAGCCACTCTTGTCAAAATTGTTAAATTAAATGATAACATGAATCATGTCTATTAAACAAGATTTTGTGGCTTTTAATAACGGCATACAGAGGTACACATTTAAACTATTGTTACAATCACATTCTTTTCTCTCACAGTCAATGAGATATAAAACTATTGTCATCATTCTACTAAAAATCATGTAAGGAAATGACATCTTTAAATAAAACCTCTTTGCTTCATACTGTTCCCTTTTCCATCAACAACTATCAAAGAACAGATGTAGATGGCAGGGGAAACTCTGGTAATATAATGAAGAAAGCAAGCTACATCATTTATATGTAAAAAAAAAATAATAAACAAACAAAAAACAACACTACGAGCTACAATTTTACTTGATCTAAAAACAAGAGCTCAGCCAACTTATGTTGCACCCTTTTATCACACAGACCACAACACACAATTCTCCATAGCAAGAAATAAAAAGCTTTTTTTTGTGTCTTAACACCCTGTAATAAAAATCAGATGCCATCACCTCATAGTAGGCTTCTTCCATTCTCAGGCATTTTCAAGCCATCTATAGGACCAATTTCCAGAGAGCTGCTGAGTCCCCTTGCAGCAAAATAAACAACAATAACAAAAAAAAGAAGAAAAAAAAGAATCACATGTTGTAGGCAACATAAATGGGATCCAACTGGTCAGCTAGGAAACCATCTCGTAGGTGCATACGTTGTTTTTCACCTCTAGAATTGATCGGAACTACACCTGGATCAACCACAACCACAACTCCAACAATAAGATGCTGTTCTTCCAGCACTGTGTTAGTCACTAAAGGTACTAAGTCAAGAGCTTCATTTTCATTACCATCTAGTTCCACAACCACAACTAGCAGGTTTGTCCACGTAAAAACAGCACTGAAACATGTTAAAAATAAATTAAAATAAACTTGGATTTAATTTCATTCAAAGAATTACTTAGATAGATATGTGACTCACCACTCAGCAATTTTCTTGTGACACCGCATCACACTGTTTTCGATATCAATTGGATGGTAACGCATGCCTCTAAGCATAATCGTTTCGTCCAAAGCACCAACAACAAATACAGCATCATGGAGTTCTGTTAAATAAAAATTAGATCTCATTATTCAAGTGTTAAGAGAAGAGAATAAACTATAGTATAAGAAAAGAAAATACACCAAAAATGTTATTGGAAATTAGATTAGATGACTCAGGATGGTATGAAAATTCACCAGAGCACAAAAGCACATCTGAAATACATGAGATATAGCAAACTTCCAAACAAGCCCAAAATTGCCTGAAAACACAAGAGCTTTCAAGCTGATGACATGATTGCAGGCAGTGAATGTAATGGGCCAATGAAAAGCAATGAGTAGTTTAGGAAGGTGCCTTGATCAATAAGTAAGAGGGAACAAAGGAAGATACAGAGTCCTGTACATTTACAGAATGATGTATTAGAAGACTAAGGTGACTGTGCCTGTGAGGGTTTAAGCAAACCAAACTTGCGCAGCCTCTGCTTGCAAAATGAAATGCAAAAACAAAGGCATAAAAACCATGTGGCCTAGCCCAATCAGCAATAATATCAAAACCCTTTAGTAAGACTTGAAAAATGTCTGCATGAATTATGGTATGCCCTCATATATGAGAATATTTGATTTCAAAATAAATTGATTTAAATCCATACACCATCCTACTGATTGTAAGTAATCTAATATTTTCAGATACCAATTTATAACCCATGACTTCTACAGATATTTCAAGAACAAAAATATGAAAGCACCTGGAGCGTCACTGATCTGCTGTGATGGGGTCTGCGATTGAAGCGAAGCAAGCGTGGCGATGGACGTGGCGTCGTCCTCACCTCCCGGGCCTGCCAGGCCAGTACCTGTCCCTGTCCCTGACGTGGATGAACCAGTGGTGCCCACGCTAGACAAGGTACCGCTGCTCAAACCTCCAAACGCATCCAACGTTCCGGATGCTGAACCAGGAGGACCCACACCTGGACCTTGCAACTGTTGCCCTGGTTCGGTGCGCCGAAGGAAACCAAGATAGCCAGTGCGAGCGTACACTTCACCGGTAGAACCCGTTACAAGACGAGCATTAAAGTGATCGGCATATTCTGCCTCGTCGCCAAGTATGGTAAAGTATCCACTAGCATTGTGACTAGATTGCACCCAAATCTGGAGGGGGGAAATGGAGATAACATGACAAAGTCAACAACAAACTGCAAAATTAAATAATGATAATAATTTACTCAAGTAATTGCTTACTTCTCCAAGATGCGAATCTCCACATTGGCCCTTTGTTTCTGGGTTGGCTATGATGACTTTCACTCCTGGTAATAACTTTCCAGATTCCATAACACATAGGGAGTGCGGGCTACCACGCTCCACTAGTGACACGCGATCATTCCGTAGAGCACGCAGATCCACATACACAGTTGATGGTTCAGGGCTCGAAGCTCCCTGAAAATGGAATTGACTAGGTATTTATATGACTTCCATAACATTAAAAAATTTCTAGAATGTACAGCACATACCTGGAGACAGATGGCAATGTTCACTCTGCAACCAAAGCTTGTAGAAACCGCCCTTGGACTAAGACCCAAAGCAGAGAACAATTTGGAGAAGCTTGATGTTAAGTTTATCCTAGGCCTTTCCTCAGCAACCACCACACAAGTTCGAACACAGGCTAAATTCACTCCTCTTGTTTTGAGAGTGGTCACTGAAGATCCCAGGCCCTTTGTGCACAGTTCCATAACACCTGAAAAATATGTATATATTAAATTAAATATATATAAGGAAAAGTGGGAAAATAAATAGAGAACATTGGAGCAAATGGAAAATGTTTATCATACCATAAGAACAGAAAGTGTCTCTGACACGATACTGACTCACAGCTGAGAGCCACAGTGCTGGATTAACTTCAACTTCTGAGGGTGGTATCAGAATAGTGTGATGACCAGAATAGATGCTGTAAAAGTATGAATCACTTATTAGAGGCACCACAATTATTACATTACAACATTATTACATTACATCCTAAAATAATTTTTACCTGCTAAGGCACCAAAGGGCAAAGCCTAATCCACAATAAGGATCCAAACAGAGGGCTATATGACGTGAGGGATAAAGTTCACAAGCTAATTTCATAGACCGACAGAGGGATGTAACAGCTGCATGAGACATTTTAATCCCTGCTAACATTCCTGTGGTAGACACACTAAAGTCCAAATATGCTAACATCTCAGCAGTTGGTGCACGGTACATCATTGGAAGTTTCTTCTTTGGCATATCATCAGTGTCCAAGGTAATGGGCCATGACTTTATGTCCACAACATTGCTTGCTTCCTAAAATAAATACCGTAAGAAAAGCCCAGTTAAAAAAAAAGGTAGCAAAACATTTATTTTCAACTTAAATGAACATGAGACAAAAACAATACCTTTGACTTCAAAAGTTTTATGACATTTTGATTAGATAGAACCAATACTGATTTGCTAACATCTACGATCATCCGTACAGTTGGAAGTGTGGTTTGGAGATTTTGAGGATGTGGAGGGCGAATGGTTACTGGGACAGCTCCTACAAAATAGACAAAGGCATGTTAAAACCTATTTCTTCCAGAATACCACCCTGATTTATATCGGTTAACCACCCCCCTCCTTTAAAAAACAACAACAAAACAACAGAATTATGAAAAAGAACCTCACCAACATAAAGGCATCCGTAGAAAGCACATATAAGATCTATACCAGGTGGGAAAATTAGTGCCACATGGTCACCTGTATTGATACGCCCCTTTTCAATGAGGAGCGCACCAATTCGTTCTGCTTTCTTGTGGAGCTGAGAGCAAGACAGAGTCATAGCCACAGCACCCTTTGAATTCAGTAGGGTAAAAATGACATGTTCTGAAGAGCTCTGAGCTCTCCACTTCAAAATTTCACTGATAAACTGGTACTGAAAATTGGAAAAAAAATCTTGTTAAACTCATTGATATAGATTTTGTAGATAGATAGAGATAGATAGATATAAGCATCCTACAGGGCCAGGCAGGCACCACTGCCTAATTTTTAAAGAAACTTACCTTTCTTGCCGAATCAGATTCCTCATCAATGATGCCCATGTCACGACCTTGAGCTGAAGCAAGTCTGTTGCCCTGTACGATATTTCCTACCATAACGGAGGCTGGTCCGACGTCTGGAACAGATTCCGCAGCTAGGAAGCCACATTACAAAAGAGATGCTGTTGTGGCTGGCCAAATACTTCTGTGGTTCTCAGACACACTTTCACACTTCAGATGTCAGATCAATAGATGCAAGAGAAGTAAAGCAGAATAAAGTGACAGAGCTAAAATTCTAAAGTACTAAAAAACTAGCAACAGACCAGCCACACTATGTGATTGGCATGGATTAAACATAGAAGCAAGAGCATAAGAAGAAAGCAGATGGATATGGATAGATGTACAAGATGAAGAAAAAGGTGCAAACAAAACAAACTTTGGCCAGCACACATAAAGGAATTTTCCAAACACAAACAACAAAAAAGGGAAGAAGTAAAGTACACATGCAGACTGACAGTATTAAAACCTTATGCAATTAATGTAAAAAAATTATAGAATCCCAGTACTATAGTATATAACAGCTAATTCAACGGATGAAAGTAAACAAATTCTGAACTTAATATTTTGTACCAACAAATATGTACTAAGGAACTAATCACAATAAGAAGAACTAATGTAGGGTATTGCAATTGAGCTTTGAGCTGTCAGGGGTCTACATGTGATAAAATAAAAGTTACACATATGTCCAAAAACACATAGTTTTAAAAATGAAAGGCAATTTTCAACGTACCGGAGTGAACTTCTCGAGGTTTGGGAAGATTGGTCACACAAGTATGTGGACATAGTAAAACATTTGCTGGATGGAGGGTCCCTTCTAGATAACGTCGTTTAGTTTCTGAAAGGTGAATTCCTCCAAGAGGCGTTTTGGGAAGATAATTGGGAGGAACCAATGCAAGGCAGTAGATTCCAACTTGATGTATAGAATCAACAGCTTGTAAAACTCTAGACATCCACTGAAAACTCTGAAAGAGAGAAAAAAAAGTTTATCACTGACAAGAACTAGGAAAGTAAGGTAACTTAAATAGAAGTTAAAACTTTTCTCTTTACCTCTTCCTCACTACAATCGGGCCTTTGTTCAGCAATAACACATATTCTTTCATCTCTAAGAACCCTAATACTGAACACAGCTATTCTTCCACGATAAATAAATTTCATGGGTTCAACAGCTAAGACAGTAGCAATTATGTCATCAGCATTATGTTTTCTGCCAGTGACAGTCATCAAACCGTCCCGTGAACCACAGACAAATACTAATCCACCCTAAATAATAAAAACATAGTAAAAAGTTAAACAAGAAGTGGCAGCAAAATACAAGAAACTTTGGAAAGAAAGTGAACCACACACAAACACAAGAGATAGACTGTTGTTATACTGTTATACTTACAGGACCAAGGAAGCCAAGGAGCCCACTTCGAACATATTCTGCATCTCCTAAGGGTGTGCCATCAGCTTGAAGGGGTAGAACTTTGAAGGTACTGTTTGTAAGTCCCTGCAAGCCCCAGTATTGGTTTCCTGTTGCTCCAGAATTTACACAGATTTCTCCAACTTCATCAGTTTTACACAAAAATGATGTGCCTTCTATTTTAACAACTACAATCACACCTGTAGGTTTTCAAGTAAGACATATTTCAATATATATTTTTTTTGCATTTTTTCAAAAAAGGAAACAAAACTACAACTTTAAGTTTGACTTACACCCAGGCATGACTTGACCGCAGTCTTGCAGAGTAAGGGAAGTCAGGGAGTTTTCTTGATCAACACGAACAACCCCAAAACTCAACCCGGACATGGATAAGACTCCTCGTCCTGTGGCATTAACACCAGCTCTACCAGGTCTGAGGATTCAAAACAAACACATTAATTAAAATTCTTGGAGAGTTACTACCACAAACTCCGGTTAAAGCTAAGACTTCCATACCTGCGAACTGACACAGTTAAAACTTCACTTGTGCTGGCACAAGGACATATTGCATCAGGCCTTAGTCCTTTGCTTTGGAAAACACTTAAAAACTGGTCACATGAAGAAAGGGACCAAGGGTTAGCACCGTCTGCTACCAGTAACAGCCTCAAGGATGAAAGAGAAATATCCTTGTGGTCTTTGGTAGCCAGTAAACCCCAATGTAAATCTCTTGACTTGACGACCGCAACACTGGCTGCAAGTATAAAAACAAAACAAAAGGAAAACACAATTAACTGACCAAAACTTTTTCAACAGAAAATCAATAACATTTACAATTACACACCTCTGTATTTAGTTATCATTTGCATCCAGCTTGCTGGGTTGACTTTCATCAAAGCATACGGAATGAAAATTATGTGCATTCCATTCAAAATAGACGTCAATACAGAGTGCCACAGCCCAACCTCCCTTTTGAAATCAAGCACACAAACCATGTTCTCGCCTTCTGTGTAATTGCATGCCATAGTTAGAGTTCTACAATGAGTCATCATAGCAGCCCTTGTCACAGTGACACCCATAACAGATCCATCCCTGTCAGTTGTATACTGTAAAAATTAAAATATCATGTGAGAGTTAATACATTTGATAAACAAAATAAAGAAAAAATCCAAGCATATTAAAATTTTAACTTGCCTCAATATAAGCTGGTGTATCATCAGTTAGTCTTGGAGGAGGAAGCCAGTCTTTTGGAGTTTTAGCAAGATGCTCAGTAACAAACCACTGCAGTTTAGGCCATCCTTTGAAAGCAACAACATCCCCAGCTGTTGTTTTGGGAAGACCCTTAAGGCAGGCTTCTGAGGTAAGGGCAACTTGAACTCCACAGCTTCCAAGTAGAAAACCAATTTGTTGTGAGCCAGCATCCTTGAAAGTTACAAGAAAAACATACATTAGAACTTAGTGCAACATATTAAATATATATGTATCATACATTTGGATCACATACTCTTCTAGTTAGAGGAACTTCAATGGGCACGGGCACCATTCCTGCTTGTAAGCATCCATAAAATGCACACATAAAATTTATTGGGTCATTGTTGGGGTAAATAAGTGCAACTCTATCGCCTGTTTTCAATACTGTTTCACCCTTGCTGAAGTTGCGGTTAAGGAGTGTGTAAGCGATTTTTTGTGAACGACTAAGTAGTTTCCCTGTTTCACGCCCAAAAAAATAAAAATTAGTTGATGAGGAAATATATCATTTCAGAACCGAGTAAAAAGAGGACCTGAAAAATATTACCATAGGTCAAGGTGATACTCAGTTTTCCATTGGGATCTAAAACTGTAGCAACTGGTGCCTTGTACGTTGCAGATCCATACCTCTGAATGGCAGCTTCCAAATTACGAGGTAATCCTGAAGGTACCTATTAGAAGGTATTGAAAAGGGTTAACTGACGTGGGCACTCATATTTTCAGGAGAGATAGAAAATACGACAGAATTACAACATACAACAAGTTGCTCTCCCATAGCAGGTGTCATGGTTCCTCCTTCAGGCTTTGGTGCATTCGGGTCTTTTGGGTTGGCGGCAATTTCTAATTCAATATCGTCATCTTCATAAAATTCAGGTAAGGGTCGACGTTTTGGTCGTTTCAGTGTGTTTAGCAGCTGCTGGATTTTAGCAGAGACTTTCCATCTACCCGTGCTTGTAACAGTACCTGTTAACACAAAATAATAGCATAGCTACAAAAACCTATACTGATAATAATGCTGTTAGAGCAAATATTAAAAGAAGTTTACCCATGTTGTCTTCAGAAGCAGAAGAGTGCCTTGACTGGCTAAATCTATGTACTCTATCTGCACCAGTCATTCTGCGGGAGCCAGCTGTGTTGTGGGTCACATCTGGAGGTTGAGAGTCTAAATAAAGCAATAAAAAAATACATCAAACAACTTAACAAAAGAAGTGAGGATTAGAGGTTAACAAGTGTTAACACGCACATGGGTTGAGATTGTGCATAACATCAGCTAATTGTGTTATTTCTTGTCTGGAGCGTTTACGCTCTTCTCTTTCTTCCCACACGGTATGGCCTGGGCCTCCATTAGCACTGCTACGGGGTGGCCTATGGAGTCTTTGTTGAGGAGGAGTCTCACGAGCTGAGCCTGTACTACTAGTATCGGGAGTTATTCTTGCCCGTTCACGTTCTGGAGTACTTTGAATGTCATCATTAGCAAGGCTATCATCATCAGTACTTGAGGCTAAAATTGGAGAAAAGAAGAAAACACAATTGTTAAAAGATGTTGAACACGTTGAGTCCCACGTGGGCACATGGTTGCTATGCCTTGCTGGGAAACACCACTCTGCACAATCTCTCTGGGACTCAACGTTTTAAATGTAATAAACATTCTCACAAGCAACAAAGCAGAATAATTACCAGAATCATGCCTGTCTCTGTCTGGGCTCTTGGCCATAACAGAAGTTCTTTTGGACGGCATTGGAAGGGAAGGCTTTGGTCGATTTTGCATTGCTGCTAGAGCTTGCTGCACTGCCTCTTGTCGAACCTCTGTAAGATTCAAAGTAATTATATGTTTGTTTAACTTTTATTGAAAAGAGAAATTAAGTCTAATAACAAACATGTATTTTCTTAAGATATTAGGAGGTATCTTAAGAAAATGTATTTTAAACATTTGGTGCGTGACCACACTCTGAGTTTAACAACCCCTAACCATGCACAGCCGCACTAAATGTGTTAAGACAGAATGAAAAGCCAATTAAAGAGATTAAAAGGATTTTTATATTGACTCCATTAATCATGGAATTCACGGCATGCAGTGTGCTAATGTGATGCCATGCACTGATATGTTGTTGATGCGCAACTGTCTAATAAATAAAATGTCACATTTATCACTTATGCACACTAAACACAAAGCAAAAGGCACAATCTGCTCCAAACGATGAAGAGTTTTTTATTTTAAAAAAGAAAAGAAGGAAGCAAGGCGTCTCGCACGCGTCACCACAAGCATTGCCTGCCGCCCACCATAGAACCCGTCAGCCCGAGTACAGGCACGGACATTGTAAGGCCGTACTGCACCCCGGGGAAGTCCTAGCTCTCCTCTCCAAGTCAAATGACGTGTGTCGTCCACCGCCGAAGCTCCGACCGCCGGGCCCCACCTACTCACCAGAGTGGTACCTGCTCTCATTGCGAGTGAGGCGGCGGTTGCCTCTGCGCCGCGCCCTCGCCCCAGGGCTCGAGGGGCAGTTGTCGCGGAGCGCGGGGACCAGGGGGACCGCGGGGGGTCCATGAGCGGGCGGAGCGCGCAGAGCGGGCCCCTCCAGGGCGTCCAGGGCCGCCAGGGCCTCCAGCACAGCCTCGGCCCCGGACCCGGACGCGGCAGCAGCGCCTCTGGCTGCAGGCAAGGCGACACGGGCGCATGCAGGCGCAATCACAAAACAACAAAAAGCAAACGAGTGCGGTGTACGAGCAGCTGAGCAGGGTGCAGGTTACAACTACCGGGCTTTAGAGCACTAGAGCACTCAACTAAACCAAGAACAAGAAAAACAACAACAAGACAAGCGGGCTAACTGACTACCCGCTTTTAGCTGTTAGAGTATATTTAAATATTATTTTTTTAAGTTAATATAAAAGTAAAAATTAAAGCCTAAACACGTTAATGAAGGGGGTAAATGTGATCAAATGACCATGCAGAGAATCTACAAAACTTTCTATCATCTCTAAGTGCATAGTTCGTAAAACCACGAACGGCCGGCGTCCATATAAACCACAACGAAAAACACGACACACACATGCCACAAAAAGAGGAGGAGGGTAGCTGCAGAGCCAGCGGCAACATCAGCAGCAGCAGCAGCGACATGCGCTTAGTCACGGCAGGCCAAACTCTACAACAGGATGGGGAAGGAGAGAACCGAAAACACACACACACACACGAACACACACACACACAGCTATCGAGTGTCGGGCCCCACCACGGTGCCGGCCACGCCATTCCACGCCGCGCCGCGACCCGCCCCCGCACACGGTGCGGCAAGTCCACCCCGCCCGCCCACCCGCCCGGCGCCCATCCGCGGCGGGCTTGGCGTGGGCGGGTAGGTGTGCGGGAGCGGGACCGAGGTGAGCGGGAGCGGCGGGGGGACACTCGGCCCTGCTCCGCTCCCCGACAGCGGGAAAACCTGCTCCGGGGCTACGGCGGCGCCAGGGATCCCGGCTGAGAGTATGTGAGCGGGGTAAGGCTCTCTCTGGGGATGCCGTCAGTCCGCACGCCGCCGGGGAGCGGCTGGGGTGCACTGGGGTGGATTGGTGGTGGTGGTGGTGCGTCGCTGCTGTCCGGCTGTACCTGAGTGGTATCGCTTCTCGTTGTGGGTGACGCGGCGCTGCGTGCGGCGGGCGCGCGACTGCTCCGGGTCCCTGCTGCCGCCGCCTCCTCCTCCGCCGCCGCCGCCCGGGCCGCCGCCCCCGCGCGATGACTCCCTGCCGCCGCTGCCGCCGTGGCCCGAGCCCTGCCCCTGCGAGGAGGTGGGCGTGGGCGCGGGCGGCCTGCCTGCTGGGTGCAAGCCGGGGGGGCGAGTTAGGTAAGTGGTGGACCATAGGGGACAGCCTCCCCCCCTCACATCGGTTATCGCCAGGCAGGGGCGAGGGGGTTGTTTTTGTTAATAAGTGGAAACACGGCCGGGGCAAGGCCGCGCGACATGGCAGCTGCATGCGATGGTCCCCGCCCGCCCACTGCCAGCCTGCTGCTGATGACAACACAAAAAGCACCACGGCTATGCTGCCCCCGCCGCCGGCCCGGCCCGGGGGTCGCCGCGGCTAGTGCACCACCAGCACAACCACACTGTCACATGACGAACACAACATCCCCTCCCACAAAGCACAACCTCGACGGCATGAAGTGAACCCCGCAAAATGAAAAGGTCACAGCGCGCCGGACCCCGACCGTGCTAGCGCGGCTGAGAGGGCAGAAAAAGTGACTGGTGTGTTACTTTTAGAAACATGGCACCGGAACTACCCTGAATCTTACCTGCGGATTGCTTGGGTACATAGGGAGCGAGGAGCTTGCTGCGTTTCTTCTCATAGCCCTTCTGAGTGATGTCACCTGCAACACACAAGAAAACCAGACATCAGAAATTAGACAAAGTATGGGTCGTTATTCCTCTAGTGACCTACTTCAGTTGAGGTTACAAACAGTAACAGTAGCAGCCAGCAGCGTGGGGGGCGTGAGGCAGGCAAGCGCGCCCCTCTCGCCCCGCGGCCAGGGCGCTGCCGGACGCATATCCACCACCACAGTTTACACGACCCTCGCCTGCAGCAAGTGTGGCGTGGGAGCGGTCAGCAGGGAAGGGAAGCGAGGAGGGGACGGGGGAGGCCCCGCGAGGCCCTGGGGCCCAACCCCGACCGGGATGGCACATAGGCACATACACACTCTCGCTCTGCTTCTGATGCTGCTCACTTGAACAGGTCAGATGATGCCCCCCCACACTCACTCGCTCACCCCATCCACTGCCAGACCGGCGCATATTCATGGGAAGCTAGGAGGGCCGTCTCTCCCCGCGCCGGTCGCCTCCCGAGCTGAGGAGAGCCCTCGAGCGCGCTCAATATCCCGCGTAAAGCCGTGGCGGACAAAAATGCAAAAGAGGGGCAAAGGGAGACAAAAAAAAAGTACTGAGGCTGCCTACAAAAAAGGGGGGGGGGGATACTCCAACATGGAGCCGCCGTGCCGTGACCCGGCGGGCCGACCTCTGACCCTCCACCCGTGTCGTCTCCTGGGGGTCCTTTCCAGCCGGAGGCAAAAAGGGACGAGCAGCATCAGCAATAAATTGAAACTTGTCTCGCAGCATTCTGAAAAGGAGGAGGAGAGGGGGAGGGAAATGTTTGATTGGAAGATGTGTTTCGCTGATCGCGTAGGCTGTTCACGGTAAAAACGATGTCTCTGTTTTTGAGAGGAAAGGAAAAACTTTGAGGAACTTATAAATTTCAGGAAAACTCCTCCGATCTCGCCTCAGATTTTGAGGAATCTTCTCAAAAAATGAGGGAAAATCCCACATTTTTTGAGGAGACTTCCTCGAAATTTTGAGGAGATTTCCTCGAACTAAGGGAGTTTCTCCGTTTTCCCTCAAAAAATGAGCCATCGTTTTTACCGTGGTTTTGATGAAACCGCAAAGGGCCCTTGTAACGTGTGAAATGGAGCCCCTCGTCCCGTGTGCGTCGCCCCAAAGCACGGAGGGGTTCGTGGCGTGGAGCGTGGGGCCGCGAGGGGCCGGGG